AAAGCATTTTTTAAATATGCCAGGGAGCTTAGGAGCCAACAGTAGCTCCTGATCCTAGAATAACCTAAGTCTTAGTTCAAATAGTGTGTGTTCTTCCTACAACCCATTCTTTTTACCAACATTAGAGTTGACTTCCAAGGGCAAATCATAAAGTCTCTAATTATGTATGTTTTAGAAACTACCTTCTATGATTTAATTATTATTACAAAATTAGCAGTTTCACCTTTACATTCAAGCATAGCCTAAATTTCATTTGCACTACTTAGGTACCTGTATAAACATAGTAAATCTATTTGAAAAGCAAATATTGACTTTTCTAAGACATTTGACTCATTCAAATTACCTTTTTTTCAGCATTGTTAGCATTCTCACAGAATAACTTAGAAAATACTCTCCCTCCCTTCTTTCCCTACCCATCCTTCCTGTTCATTTTTGTTGTTCTTCTCTTCCTTCCTCCCTTTCCTTTTCCTCTCCTCTACCCCCATGTTAGTAGGGGAGAAAGCAGGAAAAGGCATCCTGAGAATAAAACAATAATACAACTAACTAAGCATTGTTTATGCCTAAGAACTGTCATAGTTAAGCAGTGTTTTGCTTAAATATTCTTACATATGTTCTCAGACATCTTTCAAGTAGAAAGGTTCCCCATTTAGAGTAGATTTGTTGGGCAAACTGCTGACCTCTTCAAACAGAAGGTTCACATGGAAGCTACAAAGTAAAACTTTTCCAATAAAAGTTATGTAAGTAAATCTTCAAAAACAATGTGTATTCATAACTGCCCTAAAATTTCTGTTCAAGTATCATTCAACAGGGAGCTTGTCACTAACCAAACACAGTACTTGCATAAAGTGTACACAGTATGTTTCTCCAAGCCAGTTCCATAACTTTCAAATACAGTGAGACAGTTAAAAGACAAAAACCTTCTAATGAATTAAAGGAATTTTCTAGATACTGAATCTTCACTTCAAATTCTTATATTATGTAATACAATACTAAGAAATAATTACTCAAAATACTTTACCCATTAACAACGTCAAAAAAAAAAAAATAAACCCACTGGAGGAAAGCAAAGGAAAGGGTGACATTGTCCAGAAAGAAATGTACTTGTTATCTGACTTATAAAACAGTAATCCCTCTGTATATCTCTTAATAATAATAGATCACTGATAATACTGATCATTGATTTTTCTTTCACAGTTAATCACTTCTATTCTAAATCAACTGGGGGTAAGTCCCCAGTTTTATGCTATTATTAACTATATATTTGCTGAATGGATAAGAGACAGTGGCTTATTAATTTTTCTTATTTTCTAGGGCTTCTTTGGGGTAAGATTTTATTTCTGATTATATTGACAAAAGTAAGTGACAATGGGGCTGGGAAGGTGGCTCAGAGGTAGAGCGCTTGCCTTGCATGCATGAGGCCCTGGGTTTGATTCCTCAGCACCACATGAGCAAAAAGAAAAAAGCCGGAAGTGACGCTGTGTCTCTACTGGTAGAGTGCTAGCCTTGAGCTGAAGAGCTGAGGGACAGCGCCCAGGCCCAGAGTTCAGGCCCCACGACCGGACCCAAAAAAAAAAAAAAAAAAAGTAAGTGACAATGTCAAAGAAGGTAAGAATAACTCCTCTATACAATAAAAACGTATGCAAATTCAATCCGAATGGATCCACCCACTTAGAACCCATCTCCCCCAAAACCTTTAGATCAAAGTTTCTGCATATCTATAAAGGTAATCTTTTCACAAGGCATGCTATCTCACAAAATCTAAGGTTAAACAAATTATGCAATACTAGGTGAAGAACTTTTAAATAGGCTTTTGTCTATAGACAGTGAGAAATGCCTTCTAAAATTATATGGTCTTGACCAAACTAGGTTATGGTTTGACCAAACCTAGTTAGTTATGATTACCTTGCCTTTTCACGTGGCAAGTTAATACATCTTACTAACACAAGAGCATTAGCCTGCTTGGTGAAAAGAATAAAAACTTGAAACTTCTACTTTGAATATCCATCAAATTTGTTTCCATTTAAAATAAACATTTTTAACTGAGTGCAGGTGGTTCATACCTTCTAGCTACTCAGGAGGCTGAGATCTGAGGATCACGGTCTGAAGCCAGCCTGGGCAGGTCCATAAGACTCTTATCTCCAAAGGACCAGCGAAAAACTGGAGGTAGAACTGTGGCTCAAGTGGTAAAGCGCCAACCTTAAAAAAAAAAACTCAGGAACAGGCTCTGAGGCCAAGCCCCAACATACACACACACACAAAAACCGAACACACAAGATGTGTATGTGTGCATGTATAATATATATGTATCTGTACAAACACACAAAATGTGTGTGTACATAAGTATCTGTGTATACATATATATTTAAATATATAAACCAGAAAAGTATTTTTCTTGTTATTAAATATCTGAATCAATGTTATTAAATTTTATACAGAAAGTGTTTATTACAATTTATCTTGGAAGAAGCTAATGAATGGAAATATTTTCAGTCCCAATTTTGAGAAAGATACTGAATTTTCTCTCACCTAGCAACTTTCCTGCTATTAAAGTTTTACTGCCTTAAAGTACTTATCAGTACTTTTGCCACTTCAAATACTGTGTCAGGCCCACCAGAGACAAATTGGGAAAAGTTAAGATCCATGTTGTAGATAAGACAGTTGATGCTTCAATGTACCAGCATCTAAGCATAACAGAGCTATATTGTTTTCTATCCTAATTCACAATCACACTTGTATCAACATATCATCAATATCACAAAATGGGAGAGATGGCAAGATGAAGAAAAAAATTACAGTGGACATACTTTCATATACTAACTGTAACTTGTACTATTTCAACAGAAATAATTCCCACAACTCATGCCGGAAGCTAAATACGGTTAGTAAAATCTCCAAATATCTTTCAAGCACTATTATGTATTTTAAGCATTTTAAATCCTTAAAGAGTTTTACCCCCTAAGGTTCTGTTCATACTAGTAAGTCAATATCATGATAAAAGTAAATGTAAATAAGACTAACTTGATTAAAAAGTTTCTTCAAAGGATGTTATTTTTAATCAATTTTATTACATGGGCTGGTTGTATACCTCAATGGTCAAGTGCTTGCCTAGAAGGCTCAAGGCCCTAGGTTCAATCTCTCAGAATGCCAAACAAAAACAAACAACAAAAAAAATTTTATAAGTTAAAATTTCAAACACTAAAAGCAGCTGGAATTTTCAAATTGCTTCTTTAACTACCAAATTTTTAAACTTTTAATAATTATGACCTTATGTAAATCTGATTTTATTTGAGATTTATTTCAAAAGTTAAAGAGTACTTGCTGGCAAGACAAATACTGATTGTGGCCATTTATCCTTAAATAAATGATATCAAATAGATAGATGATATCAAATAAACTGTCTTCCAGCTAAAGTTGAACAATTTCAACAATGCTAGCCAATTAGGAGCAATTATAAACTTCAAGCTACCAATCATAGTCAAATTATTTTGTAATGCCAATACTGATTATGTAACATATAACCTTCCAAATTATATCCTTAAAGTAGCAAGTCACAGGACCTCCTAACTTTAGTACATGCTATGACAAAGAATAAAGTTTGGAACTAGATAGATTGGAATTGAAATCCAAGTTGTTTCCCTAAAGATTGCCCAATAGGGCAAAGGCAATCTTTGAAAATACCAAATTCCTCATCTATAAAACAGGACTACTACTGTCTAACTTCACAGGCTTTATGTCTTAAGGGGTATAATTACATAGATGTTCAATAAATAATGTCTATTATTTTACCAGTTTTATTAAATATCCCTAAAAGAAAAAAATATTTCTTATGCCTAAGGAATATTTTCCTAAGTCATGAAAAAAGTCATGAAATAAAGAAGGGAGTATTACCTAGTAATACAGAAGCAAGTATTTCTCTCAGAAGGTCTTAACATTAACATCTTAATCTGTTTTTTTTTTCAATAGATGGTGCTGGATATTACAGTTATGAGAAGATTATAGGCTTCTATTTTATCATTAGTTGATAGTAGCTTTGTCATTTTGCATGTGCTATATACGTTCCCAGTGAAAAATGCCACAAAAATCTATTATCTACAGACTATTTGTTTTAAGTATTTTAAGTAAAATTTTAGTATGTCTTTATGAATTTCAGTTCAAGTGTATCAAAACTATAAAGCATAAGTAGATGTCACATTTCATAAAAATTGTTCAAACTCTCTTAAAAGCCTTTGCAAGTAGTTTCAGAATTAGCTCACAAGGACAGGTAGCAGTCTTTTCCTTTCCTGTTTGTTGCCTGTATCCTAGAGATCCTGGTACACTATCCTCTCTTTTCTGCTGTGACTTATATTAGCCATGTGTCTCTTTAAAAACTGTTTCAATCTTTAACATGCCTCTCCAACAAAAACAAAAAACACAATCAATTCTGTCCTTTCCTGATTTCAATTCCTTGTTAGTTTTTACCTATTAATTAAGCTATAACTTTTAATATTTATAGGAAAGTAAGTATCTATAAATGACCAATTACCTGAATATTTTCTAAGTTGAAAATGTCTTAATATGAGTTCTTGGGCTGGGAAGGTGGCTCAGTGGTAGAGTGCTTGCCTTGCAAGCATGAGACCCTAGGTTCGATTCCTCAGCATCACATAAGCAGAAAAAGCCAGAAGTAGTACTGTGGTTCAAGTGGTAGAGCGCAGGCCTTGAGCTGAAGAGCTTAGGGACAGTGCCCAGGCCCAGAGTTCAGGCCCCACAAAGAAAAACAAAATTTAATCTTTATTGATTAAAATAACGGAAAATTCCTTATAAAGCTGCTTAAATACAAGGTTTCTAAATCAGAGTCCATAAGATCATTTGAAGGAAAATACTGAAGGGAAATCAGATTAGACATTAAACTATACACATCTAATGGTAGAACTCCCCCAAGGAGTCTGCTGTGGTGGAAACATCCTTTAGGCCTCTGAAGATAAGAAGGGAAAAGAACTAACCAACAAAGACTACATGGAAAGTACATGTCTATATTTTTATTCTCAATACAATTCTTCAAAAAAAAAAAGGTTATTTAAATTTAATATAAGCCATGCTTAAATTTAGAATACTTGTAAAATATGACAATTTTTAAACTTTTTTACAAGAAAGTTTACAATTCCATGTTCAATTTCAACATACTTGCTCATTTTATTCTGATGCAAAATCTTCTATATACAAACATTCTGAAAGAGAATAAAATAATTTCCAAATGACCTTTTTATAGTATGGTTTCTGTGTACTGCCTTCTTCTCAGCACAGGTCTTGGGTGGCCTTTGGCTTACACTGAGACCAGCAATAGTCCATGTTAGTCAGTTTCAGAGTCTTCACTCCAGTGTGCATCTCGTTTCTCTGCCACAAGTTTGATGAAGTGAGAGTGGCTGGCATAAAGCTTGAGTTTATCACTGATATCCACCCATTTCACTTTTCCAGCATCATCTCCAGCTTCTAGATTAAGATTATCCATTATCTCACCTGGTCATCAAATTAAAAATACACACACACACAAAAAGGAATTTATTTATCCATATTATCAGCATAATTCTCTATCTTCTTCTGTTCTTACTATAAACTTAAATCATAAGCTAGGTACTCATGGCTCATACATGTCATCCTAGCTACATCCTAGCTGAGATATGAGGATCATGGTTCAAAGCCAGCCCCAGCAGGAAAATCCCTGAAACTCTTATCTTCAATTAACTACCAAAAGCTGGAAATGGAGCTGTGTTTCAAGCAGTAGAGTGCTGCCCTTGAGTACAAAGGCTGAGAGACAGTGGCCAGGCCCTGAGTTCAAGCCCCAGGGATGGTATAAAAAATAGACAAACAAACAAACTTAAATCAGCACTATATTAGTAGTTAAGGAAATTAGAAAACAAAACATTCCAAATGCCTGAGTTCAACTAATTTCCCAAATATTAGGTGGAGGTTCCAAAAAGAAAACTGTTCCTTTAGCTGGCTCAAGCTTGTAATCTTCACTACTTAGAAATCAGAGATCAAGATCAGGGATCTAAGACAGCCCAGGTAAAAAGAAGTTTGAGAGACTCATCTCCACTAATGGCTGGGTACCATGACATGTAGCTTTATCCCAGCTATAAGAGAAGCACACAGCTGGGTGCAGTATTGCACACTGTCATCTCTAGCAATAGGGTAGCACAAGTAGGAGAATTGCAGCCCAGGCAGGCTCTGGCAAAAAGTGAGACTCTACCTTAAAAATAACAAGGAGGTTGGAGATATAGTAGAGTAGCTGCCTAGCAAGCAAAGGTTCTAAGTTCAATCTCCAGTATTGCCAAATTTTTTTTTTAAAGGAACATTTTTAAAAGGGGGATTACTCCTTTTCTTGTCTGTGATGATTTAAGATTTTTAAATTTGTGTAAACTAGTTGTACAGGAGGATTTTATTGTGCCATTTCCATATCCTCATACAATGTACCCTTATCACCCTTCCCCCCTCTATCACGCTAAAGCCCCTGGCCTCTATTCCTAAAACACGTTCAACAAGTTTCATTGTTCTATTTTCTCTCTCTCTTTTTTTTTTTTTTGTTGGTTATTGGGCCTGAACTCTGGGCCTGGTTGCTGTACCTGAGCTCCTCAGCTCAAAGCAAGCACTCTTAACACTTGAGCCACAGCGCCACTTCCGGCTTTTTCTATTTATGTGGTGCTGAGGAATCGAACCCAGGGCCTCATGCATGCTAGGCAAGCACTCTACCATTGAGCCACCTTCCCAGCCCATTGTTCTATTTTCATATATGCACATTTACTCTCTCCATTCAAGCCTTCTACCTCCCTCTCATTCATTTTTAAGTATTAATTGTACCAAAGGATTTCACCATGGCATTTAGCACATACACATATATATATATTTTTTTTTTTAATGGAATAACCATTTCTATTATTCTTAAAAACAAAACAAAACAAAAAAAGAGAGTCGGGAGGGAAAGGGAGAGAATCAGGCAAAGTGGTTCAAGTCTGTTACCTACTTGGAATGCAGTGGTCAAGGGTAGGACATTCAAAGCCAGTCCAAGTAGAAAAGAAGTTTGAGCGACTCCATCACAACCAATGGCTTGAATATAGGTAGCATATACCTATCATCCTAGTGTCATGGGGTAGCACAATCAAGAGGATTACAGCCCAGGATGAACCAGGCATTCAGTGATATTTGACCTTGAAAATAACCAGGGTCTATGTCTATTGTCATGTAACTGCAACATACAGCCATCAATGGAAAGAGAGAAGTGAAAAGTAAATCTAAACCCAAATAGTTAACTGTTGGATTTTGTAAATAACAACTTCCTCTAAAATCATGTTTTACCAGAATTAATAGTTTTCCACTCATGTCTGTGGGCACTTAATTCTATTATACAAATATTATACAAAATTTTTAGCAGTTTAGATTGGTGTAATCTGACATGTAGAGTTCAAGAGTCACCTCTGTCATCATCACATGAAAAAAGCTAAACTAAAAATTAACAGTTCTTAGATCTCAGAGAACTGAGGTTAGGGGCACCCTGCCAGCCCTCACTGGAGAAAAATTCTCTCTGTCTTCCAGCAGGGTGAAGAGAAAATAATAATTTTGAAAACATCTAAAGTACACTGCCCTCATGTACAATTTTTTTTTTATAAAGGCCTAGATAACTGGGAGGAGGGTAATACCAACTGCAGGCCAACTAACCTGGGTGATCTGAGGCAGAAAGGAGGAGAAGCAAAGCTGAGAAGCACTTGTGGAGGCTGCAGCTCAGGAGCACAGACAAGCTCAGGGAAAGAAAGTCATAGGATCCTCCTAGGGTTCCCTTATCCTAAAACTTACAGTAAAGGAAGATACTACTGAGAGAGGAGCATATCTCAGACCTGATTAAGGAAGGAGTCTGGAGAGAAAAACAAGGGCATGGCTGGGAATGTGGCTTAGTGGTAGAGTGCTTGCCCAGAATGCAAGAGGCCCTGGAATTGATTCCTTGGTATCACACAACAAAAACAAAAACAACATAAAACAAAGACATCTGTCAGGTGCCTGTGGCTCCCACCTGTAAATCTAGCTACTCAGAAGACTGAAATGTGAAGATCACAGTTCAAAGACAACCTGGGCAATAAAGTCCTTGAGACTTTTCTCTCCAATTAACCAGAAAAAAGCTAGAAGCAGACTTACGTTACTCAAGCCTTGAGTGAAAAAACTCAGAGACAGTACATAGGCTCTGGGGTTCAAGCTCCAATACCAGCATGTGTGCATGTGTGAGTCTGCATGTGCACATCCACATGAGCACACATGCACATGCACACACAGACACCAGAGTAAATTTTAGCTTTTGATACCTGTGGCTATAGTAAGCAAATACAGCATAACTAGCCAGATAAACATATAACCTTACACTACTTACACTAAGGCCTACTTGCCTTAAATCTTGTCCAACTTCCAAAAGAAACTGCAAGGTACACTAAAAGGCAAAACTAAACAGTCTAGAGACAAAGCCAAGCAACAGAATCAAACTCAGATATGCCAAAGATCTTGGAATTAGAAGTACAGCTTTTTTTCTTTAATTTTTAGAAAGAGAAAAGACATGGGGTAAAAACAGTAAACAACTCATAAACTAATCAACTTCTGAAGGATCAGTTTTTAAACCTCAAAATAACAAATATGTCAGCAGTTTTGTACAATTCACTCTAAACTACATTTACATATTTCTCTTAAGTTCTCAGTCCTAGAAGGATGAACTGTTTCAGCATCAGAGGTGTTGTATAAAAATAACAAACAACTTTGCTCCCATAAAAATCTATCCTAAAATCAGTAGCTCTTGGTCTACATATGGTTGTGCTCCAGTATGGTGGCTGAACCTGATTCTCTAATCCAAACAATATAGTAAATGTGAGTATAAAATTACCTGTCTCAGCTGGGCACACGCCTGTAATCCTAGCTATTCAAGAAGCTGAGATATGAGTTCAACACCAGCCTAGGCAGGAAAATCTGAGATTCTAATCTCCAATAAATTACTCAGAAAAAGACAGAATTGGTACTGTGGCCCAAGTGGTAGAGCATTAACCTTGAGCGCCAAGAGGCTCAAGAACAGAGTCCAAATTCCTAAATTCAAGCCCCAGGACTGGCAATAAATATATACACACATACATACATACATACATATATGCATGCATACATACCTGTCTCATCATGGTAGTTTACAGCTTCTGTTTCCATCCATGCATTATCAGTGTTTCGAGGATCATCAACATATCCCTTATATATCTATTTATTAAAAGAGAAAGATTAAAAAAAAAAGTCTAGGGTGAAACAGGAATAGGCAGAACAAAAGCATGTTACCTTCATCAGATTCAGGAACATAAACATGAACATATTTAACAATGCAGACTATTATGCTTAAAAATGTTAAGATAAACCTGCGTTTGATAGCTCATCCCTATAGTCCCAGCTACTTGGTATGAGAGAGATCAGGATGACAGCTGTTGAATACCAGCCTGGGAAAAGAGTTAGTGAGATCCTATCTCAACCAACAACCCAGGCATGGTAATTTATATCGGTAATCCCAGCTACTCAGGAGGCTTAAGTAGTAGACTGTGTAATCTAAGACCAGAATTGGTCAAAAATACAAGATTCTAATTGGATAAAATTCTGAAAAAAAAGGGGGGGGAGGATGGAGCTGGCGCATGGCTCATGTGGAAGGGCTCTGGCTTAGTAAATGCAAGGCCCAGAATTCAAAACTTGGTGCCACCAAAGAAGAAAAAAATGTAGGACTGGCATGTGGCTGGGGTGGTAACAAGTGCAAGACCCTGACTTCAAAACTTTTTAGAAAAAGAAATGTAACTATCATGGAGCCTTCAGCATCGCTTCTATATACTTGTTTACATTCCTGCAGGGTAATATTCTCTTTTGAAGCAATTTTAAAATTCATTAAATTCATTACTCTTAAATTTCAAAACTTGAGAGAGATTGGGGGGGCATAGCTCAGTAAAAGAATATGTACTAAGCATGTAGGGGCTCCTAAATTCAATCACCAGCAATAAAAAGAGTATTTGAGGAGGGGGGACCAAGATGGCGACGGGGCAGTAGGGAAACGCCACAGCTCTCTCCAACCAAAAAGAGAGTTCGAGTTCCAACCTTTAATCTCCCCAAGAGACCGACAACAACAAAAAGACGAACACTCAGAGAAAAACCAGAGGTGGAAAATAACAAAAAAAGAAAGAGAGGAAAAGAAGAATTTCAGAACAGAGAAGAGCGAAGACCCCTCCCCCAACCTTTACTGGCCGCGCGGCAGTGCGCCAAGCCGCCGCCAGCCGGCCCGGCGGGGGCTGCCGGAGCCACAGAGACACAGGGGGCTGCTTGCAGATCACCAGGTACCGGATTGCAGAACAGCGGATCGCCAGGAACAGAGAAACCTAACAGCCGGGAGTCTCCACGAGGATCCCACCCCCATCCATCACTCTCCACCGGAGCGGAGAGGCTCCATCCCGCCAAAGCCGCCCAGCACCAGCAGCGCCACAAAGGGACCTGTCGGCAGAACACCCGCCCAATCGCCATAGCAACTACCCGGCGGGGGGCCGCCCAACCCAGCCCGCAACCACCCCAACTGAACTCGGATTGCAACAACTGACGACCTACAGGGTGAATAACAGGGGACAGTGAATCCCTCAAGGGAGACCAGAGCTGGAGGGAATCCCCAGACCCTGACCTAGACTCCCTACCCCAACACCTGGACCACAGGACCCACTAAAACTGGGAACTGTTCAAGAGCTCCACCAGCCGGTGGAGCACACTCTGCTGGCCAGGCCAGAGCAAGAGCGCCCCTGGAAGGGAGCTTAAATGCTCAAGCCAGGAACAGCGCCCCTGGGTCAAGACTACCAACAGTAGAAGAAATTTGAACTGTGTCCTCCAGGCTGCATAACCTAGGTGGTATACACATTAGCACAGGCCTAACGAGCGCGCTCCAGGCTGGGGCCGGAACCAGGCCTGGAGACCGGCACCTGAACAAAGCAAAAAGGGTCAGAAGTGGGGCTGTGACTCAAATGGTAGGGTGCCAGCCTTGAGCTGAAGAGCTGAGGGACAGCACCCAAACCTAGAGTTCAAGCCCACAACCAGCCCAAAACAAACAAACAAAAACACATCAGGAGCCCATAGCAGACTCCAGTATTTGGGAGAGTGCATCCAGAGCATCTGATCTTCCCAAGAGCACCCGCAGGAGCAAACACAAGCAGTCTAGGCTGCTCAACCCTTCCAAAGGCGGGAATTGCTACAGCAGAGAGCTGAGAATCCTAAGTAAGTCAGAATAGCAGCTGGAAATAGGCTCCCAACAGAATCCAGATCAGGCACAGACTCTCTCTACCAATACAGAATCAGCAACCAAGCAAAGACAGACACACCAAAACAAGATTGAAGAGCAGTCTCCTGAACCCCCATGCGAAAATCACAGAGAAAAATCACAAGGTTTACCACTACCCAGGACAGCAAGCTCACCTCAAAAGCCAGCAGCCACGCAGGGGAGAGCCCCAGTGGGAGCAAAGCAGGAATGGAAGACAAAAACTACATCCAAGGGTTGCTGGAGGCAATGACTCAAGAAATAAAGCGAGAAATGGATCAGAAATTGAAAGAGCACAAGGATGAACTATCAAAAGATATACAGGACATCAAACAAAAGTTGGATGCAAAAATAGAAGCTGCACAAACCTCAGTAAGAAGTGAGATAAACGCCAAATTAGAGGTAATGCATACTGATCTCACCTCATTGAGAGGTGAGATCAGTACTCTGAGAACCAACATTGAATCCATAAAGGGATCCATTTCCACCATGCAAACCACAATAGAAGCCACGGTCAACAGACTGAATGAAATGGAAGGTAGAGTGTCAGATACAGAAGACAGAATACCAACTGGACCAAAAAGTGACAGATATGGAAAAATCACTCAAATTAAACCAAAGGGAAATTCAAGAGCAAGCAGATAATGCTAAAAAATTTAACCTTCGCATAATCGGAGTGGACGAAGGTGAGGAATTCCAGAGCAAGGGAATGCAACACCTATTTAACAAGATAGTCAATGAAAATTTTCCCCACCTCAAAAACGACCATCTTAACTACATCACAAAAGCTTATCGAACACCCAACAAGCAAGATCCCAGGAGAAACACTTCTAGGCACATTATAGTAACAATGATGGATCTGAATAATAAGGAAACAATCCTGCATGCAGCAAAAATGAAGAAGGAGCTATACTACAACGGGAAAAAAATTAGAATCACTGCAGATCTCTCCACACAAACAATGAATGCAAGAAAAGCCTGGGAAAGCACCATACGAGCCCTGAGAGCCAATAACTGCCAACCCAGACTGATATACCCGGCAAAGCTAGCATTCACATTCGATGGAGAACTGAAAACTTTTAATAGCAAAGAAAAACTAAATGAATACATAAACATTAAGCCAGCATTACAAAGAATTCTAAGAGGGGGGACACAACCTGAAGAAAGCAACCAGGAACTGGGACCTGCCCCAAACAGGCATTACTCAAAGTCTAACTGAGCAAGCACAGGAGGAAAGGAAAGAAGAAAAACTTAGGAAAACGGAATGGCAGGGACAACAATGCATCTCTCTATACTTTCTCTTAATATAAATGGGCTGAATTCGCCAATTAAAAGAAAACGAACTGAGGACTGGATCAGAAAACAAGACCCATCCATCTGTTGCCTTCAGGAGACCCACCTCTCAGCCAAACATACAAACAAACTCAGAGTGAAGGGGTGGAAAAGGATCTACCAATCAAATTCCCCCAATAAGAAAGCAGGTGTAGCTATCCTGATATCTGACAAAATAAACTTTTCATTAAAATCAGTACAGAAAGACAAGGACGGACACTACATATTAATAAAGGGAACAATCCAAGAGGAGGATATAACCATCATCAACTTATATGCCCCAAATATCGGTGCACCCAGATATGTTAAACAAATGCTCTCAAACTTACAGAATAAAATAGATCCCAATACGATAATACTAGGAGACTTTAACACGCCACTCTCACCAAAGGACAGGTCTACCAACCAGAGGATTGGCAAAGAAGCTACCGAATTAAGTGAGGCCATACTTCAAGCGGAATTAACTGACATCTACCGAGTATTTCACCCTAAAACAACACAGTACACATTCTTCTCAGCAGCTCATGGAACTTTCTCCAAAATAGACCATATCATAGTTCATGCAAGGAACTTAAGCAAATACAAAGGGATCGACATAATCCCCTGTATCCTATCTGACCACAGTGGAATCAAGCTAGCTCTCAATAACAAAGCATACCGCAGAAATTTCTCTAATACATGGAGATTGAACAGCACACTCCTTAACAAGGCCTGGGTAACAGAAGAGATCAGAGAAGAAATAAAGCATTTCCTACAACTCAATGAAAATGAAAACACCTCACAAAGAAACTTGTGGGACACAGCAAAAGCAGTCCTGAGGGGCAAATTTATTGCCCTCAGTGCCCACATCAAGAGAATGGAGACAGACCAAGTAAATAATCTCATGTTGCAACTAAAACAGCTAGAAAAACAAGAAAAAATGGGACCTAAAGCTACTAGACGAAGCCAGATAACCAAATTGAGAGCAGAGATTAACCAATTAGAAAATCAGAAAACCATAACCAAAATAAACCAAACAAAAAGCTGGTTCTTTGAAAAAATAAACAAAATTGATGGCCCGTTGGCAAGATTAATTAAAAAAAGAAGAGAGGAAACCCATATTAATAGGATTAGGGATGCCACGGGAAACATCACAACACGTACCCAAGATATCCAAACAATTCTAACAGACTACTTTCAAAAGCTATACTCTCTAAAGGAAGAAAATCTGGCGGAAATGGATGCATTTTTAGAGAAATACAAGTTACCCACACTGAGCAAAGAAGAAGTTAACCAATTAAATAAGCCAATATCCTATAATGAGATACAGGAAGCTATCAAAAGTCTTCCAACAAAAAAAAGCCCAGGACCAGATGGATTCACAGCAGAATTCTATAAGACCTTTAAAGAAGAACTAATACCCATACTCCTCAAGCTCTTCAGAGAAACAGAGAAGGAGGGAGCTATCCCAAACTCATTCTACGAAGCCAATATCACACTCATCCCCAAACCAGGCAAAGACCCAACCAAAAAGGAGAATTACAGGCCAATTTCCTTGATGAACACAGATGCAAAGATCCTTAACAAGATTCTAGCTAACAGAATCCAGAAACACATAAAAAAAATAATACACTATGATCAGGTAGGCTTCATCCCAGAAACACAGGGATGGTTTAACATACGTAAGTCAATAAATGTAATCCAGCATATCAACAGAGCCAAGGTCAAGAATCACATGATTATCGCCACAGATGCAGAAAAGGCCTTTGATAAAATTCAACATTCATTCATGCTAAAAGCTCTGGAGAAAATAGGAATAGAAGGAACATTTCTAAAAACAATAAAAGCCATTTATGACAGACCAATAGCCAATATTATACTTAATGGGGAAAAGCTACAACCAATCCTCCTAAAAACAGGAACAAGGCAAGGATGTCCACTGTCTCCACTCCTCTTCAACATAGTCCTAGAACCCTTAGTCAGGGCAATAAGGCAAGAAAAAGACATTAAAGGGATCCACATAGGGAAAGAAGAAGTGAAACTATCCCTTTTTGCAGACGACATGATACTATACCTCCACGATCCCAAAAACTCCATCCCCAAACTTTTAGAAATCATAAGTCACTTCGGCAAAATAGCAGGATACAAAATAAACCCACAAAAATCAGTTGCCTTCCTATACACTGATAATGCACAGGAAGAGAGGGAAATAAAGGGAGCAACCCCATTCACAATAACCTCCCAAAAAATAAAATATTTAGGAATTAACCTAACCAAAGATGTAAAAGAACTATTTAATGAGAACTATAAAAAGTTAAAGAAAGAAATTGCAGAAGACACTAGGAAATGGAAAGACCTCCCATGCTCCTGGATAGGCCGACTTAATATAGTAAAGATGGTGATACTTCCAAAACTAATATACAAATTCAATGCAATTCCTATTAAAATCCCAATGACGTACATCACTGAAATACAGAAAACAGTCCAAAAATTTATATGGAACAACAAAAGACCTAGAATAGCCAAAACAATTCTAGGGGATAAAGACAATATGGGAGGGCTATCCATGCCGAACTTCAAACTCTACTACAGAGCTATAATCATAAAGACAGCATGGTACTGGCACAAAAACAGGCCCGAAGACCAATGGAACAGAATAGAAGATCCAGATATAAATCCACAGGCCTACAGCCAGCTGATATTGGACAAAGGAGCCAAAGACATACAATGGAAGAAACACAGCCTCTTCAACCGCTGGTGCTGGGAAAACTGGGCAGCCACATGCAGAAAACTAAAAGTGGACCCCAGCCTATCACCATGCACCAACATCAACTCAAAATGGATTAAAGACCTTAACATTAAACCTGAATCTCTGAAACTACTACAGGACAGAGTAGGAGAGACACCTGAACTAATAGGCACAGGAAGGAACTTCCTGAACAGAGTCCCAGGGTCACAACAAGTTGGAGAGAGACTCGACAAATGGGACTACCTTAAAATAAAAAGCTTCTGCACAGCTAAATCTATCGCAACTAAGCTAGAAAGACAACCAACTAATTGGGAAAAAATATTTACCAGCAATATATCAGACAAGGGGTTAACATCCTGTATATACAGGGAACTCAAGAAACTAATCCCTCCCAAACCTAACAAACCAATTACTAAATGGGCAAGGGAACTAAAGAGGGACTTCTCAAATGAAGAAATAAAAATGGCAAAGAAACACATGAGGAAATGTTCATCATCCCTGGTGGTGAAGGAAATGCAAATAAAGACAACCCTGAGATACCACCTTACCCCAGTCAGAATGTCCCACATCCACAAATCAGCCAACGACAAATGCTGGAGGGGATGTGGAGAAAGAGGAACCCTGTTACACTGCTGGTGGGAATGTACACTTATACAACCACTTTGGAAAGCAGTCTGGAGGGTCCTTAGAAAGCTAAAGATTGACCTCCCTTACGACCCAGTCATACCACTTCTAGGCATCTACCCTGAACAACAGGAACCAATATACAAGGACACGTGCACCTCCATGTTTATTGCAGCACTGTTCGCAATAGCTAGGATATGGAAACAACCTAGATGCCCCACCACAGATGAATGGATCCAAAAATTGTGGTATCTATACACAATGGAATATTATGCAGCCATTAGAAATGACAAAATAATGGCATTTGCAGGGAAATGGATGGAGCTAGAAGGAATCATGTTGAGCGAGATAAGCCAAGAACGAAGAGACAAACGGTACATGGTCTCCCTGATAAGTGGATGCTAAATCCAAAAGGTTAGGTGATACGATAAAACAGGACTTAAGAAACAAAGAACTTCCGCTCATCTGGTTGAACCACTACTAAATATCCCCATGCTGCTGATCACAAATATGGTATATAACATGTGAACACTGTTATATATTACAGACTGTGGTAGACAATTTGTTCCAGGGAAGTTAGAATGAACTTGTGACTTTGAAATTATGTAATCATTTAATCACAATAAAAAAAAAAAGAACCTCGGGGAAGGGAGGGAGGGAGGGGATGGTAGGGGGAAAACAATGGAGGGGGTAACAATGTTCAAGAGGAAGTGTACTCATAACCTCACTCATGTAACTGTAACCCTCTGTATAGTAGCTTTACAATAAAAAAAAAATAAAATAAAATAAAATTGATAAATGTAAAAAAAAAAAAAAAAAAGAGTATTTGAGAACAGTCAGATTTGCACATGTTTTTTAAAAATGTTTGATTATTTAAGCATTTTTGTTTTAATAACTTCTCTGATCATAATTTCATAAACACATAGATTATTCTAATTAATAAAGGGGATCTATAAATAAAACTAAATAGTGAAATTTAAGCAATTAATACATAAAAGGATTTGGATGCAATCATCTAATACAAATGTGACCTAAAATATATGGAAACGTAACTTGTAAGGCATTTTCATAATTACAGACTATATAGACAATACAGACATGATACCACAACAGACACCAACCAGAAAAAAATCTTTATATAATTTAAAATATAAATGTTTCAGAGAGCTTTATGTAAACAGAAACAAGATTTTCCTGTTGGATAGATCCTTACCAAGTAAAAAATAGCTTTTCTGTCATATTAGCTCATACCTAAAGAAATACTGAGGAAAAAAGGAAAAAAATAATAAAATTGGTCTACAACTGGGCTATAAATTCAAGGCAAATCTATTTATAATAGTGATCTCTCTATATCTTGAGTTGCTTCTATGAATATTTATCTCAAATATACAAGAAGTCTATTTTATTCAGAGAAGGTTCCAGGTGAACTTGAAGTCTATTTTCATTAATTTATAGGACTATTATTTAGTTCCCTCCTGGAACCATCATTTCTTACCACTAATTGTTCTTGGTTGAAGAGTTTGTGCAATTGTTCTTCTATTTCCCTCTTTTCAGCACTGGATTTCTGTAAGGAATTGAGAGCTTCCTCACCAAATTCTCTTTTCAATGTGGCACTTATCTTCTCTCCTGGATCTACCATTCCCTGAAGTCAAATTAAAAAAAAAAAAAAAAGTTTTGTCAAATTGCAAAAAAAAAAAAAAATTCAATACATACCCTACAAAATTAAGAAAAGTGAGGGAAAAGGTGGGTGGGGAGGGATGGGTAAGAATATTGCAAGGGGTGACATTGATCAAAACAAACTGTATACATAAAGAGCTTTATCGAATGGCAACTTGACTGTACAACTACTTAAAAGATAATAAATAAATATAAAAATAATAAATATATATACATATTTAATTTTAAGTGAGTAAAAGATGTCCAGGCACTGGTGACTCATACTTGTAATCCTAGCTACTCAGGAGGCTGAAATCTGAGGATCACAATTACAAGCTGGCCTAGGAAGGAATGTCCATGAAACTCTTATCTTCAATTAACCACCAATAAAAAAAAAAGAGCCAGAAGCAGAGCTAAGGTTCAAGTGGTAGAGTACTAGCCATGAGCAAAAAAGCTCAGAGATAGCACCAGGCACTGAGTTCAAGCCCCAGGTCCAGTATAGAAATGTAAAGATTAAAAAATTAATAAGCTATGATTTACTGCACAAGTATTGACTGAGTGGCAAGTATATATTTCTAATCCTATCTGCCCATAATAGTCACCCCTATTCCTCCATGTCAGCACTTACTATTATCTTTGTCCAAAATGCTTATTCCCAGGTATGTACACAATTCACTTATTCACTTCCTTCAGACATTTATTCAAATGACACCTGTTCTATGAGGCCTATTCTAACTGTACTATCTCAAATATAAGATCTCAAGAACTTCTTATTCTTCTATCTTGCTTTTTTTCTTAATAGTTATAACTTTCAAGCATAAAAAATATTTACACTATTTATCTTATATGCTTCTCACTGGAATATTAGCATCAAACAATTGTTATTCTGCTGTTTACTCAATTACTAAAATACTAGCTGACAAAGGGTAGATTCTCAAGTTACACTGAGCAGATGACTAACACAAAATTGTATCACGGCAAGTTGTCCTTACTGATCAGAATTTCAAATGACAATAAAAATATAAAAGCTTATGATGAAATCATTGTTTTGCTATTGCACTTAGCATGAGTGAAATTTGATGATCTGTCCTATATTAATTTGCCTAAAGCTTTATTCTTGCAGACAGCAGCACCCTCATAGCAAACCATCTCATTTCACAATAAGGCATCAAATATAAAATACGCAACCACACTTATTATAAATGATTTAAAAGGTCACTTCAAATATTTCACCAGCATGCATTCAAACTGTAGGCTAATAAAGTGCTCCTCATGGTGACATGGAAAACTGTAAAAGTATAAGAAGCAAGTATAAAAGCTATTGTTCTGTTTACCTCTCAACTTATCAAAATTTATCAAAAAACACTAATAAGAGTTTTGAGTTGGAACTAGGGTTGGGATAGGACCAACTTTAATGAGTGCCTACTACATGCTAGACACCTAAATGCTATCTGTGAGGTATGCATGATTCTATTAGAGAGAAGATTCTGACCTCCAAATCACCCACTTGCAAACAGAAAGACCAGAACACAAGACTAGCAGTAATTACTAAGTCCATCTTCTTCTCTAAAGGTGTTACAATGACACCAGTGCTAAACTTGTTCCTGGTAGTGACAGAATACCATTGCAGTGGGGAAAAATGGAGTCAGTAAGGTCCACATACAACAACCCTAGAGAAAATGAAGTAGCTAAAAGAATTTAAACATTAATTTGACCAAATTGTAATGCTCACTCCTGGGATTGCCCATTCTCCACAGTCTTTCCTTTTTATGGCAACAAACTGTAAGATGTTCTTCCCAGAAACAGGGTGGGAGATTTTATTTCCACTGCTATCTCTTTTCCACCTGTGAACAGAACAGAAAACCACAAATGACTTAAAACAGACTGAGTTTCTATCTCAAGCCTGAAAAAAAAACTATAAAGAGATTCTTTCCTTTTTTTTTTTCAATTGTGAAAATACCGTACAGAGGGATTACAATTACATGGTCAAGATAATGAGTACATTTCTTATCAAGCATTGTTGCCTCCTCCTTTGTTTCCCCTTCCCATCCCTTCTCATCTCCCACTCCCCACCCCTCCCCTGGATTATTTTCTTAATAACTGATTAGATATCAAGTTTTCTCAAATCAACTAGTTTTGAAAAAAAAAAAAAAGAACAAAAAACAGCATTGTACATTTGTACTTTTTATAACAGATACTATATTCTCCATAATGAAAATTCAGGATATAAACAGTTTTTAATATTTAAAATGTTACCCAAAAAAGGTTAAGGACAAAATGCAAAGCAAAGACTGAAAGAATTAAGAAAAAAAAAAAATCAAAGGGGCTGGGCGCCAGTGGCTCATGCACCTATAGGCCTAGCTACTCAGGAAGCTGAAATCTGAGGATCATAGTTCAAAGCCAGCCCATGAGACTCTTATCTCCAATTAACTACCAGAAAACCAGAACCAGCGCTATGACTTAAGTGGTAGAGTGCTTGCCCTGAGCTGAAGAGCTCAGGGACAGGACCCAGGCCCAGAGTTCAAGCCCCACGACCAACAACAACAAAAAAAATCCAAGGACCCTCTTTAGAACTTACATATGGTAAAAACAAAAAACAAACAAATCTAGTAACTTTTGCACTTAGCAGTTCACCAAGTATACTGAACAACAGCTTGTATGACACTGTTTTAGCAGGTATAAAAGGTAGTTTTCAAGCCAGATGCTGGTGGCTCATGCCTATAATCTTAGCTACTGAGGATGCTAAAGTCTGAGGATCAAATTCAAAGCCAGCCCTAGCTCTTTTTCTCTTCTTTTTTGTTTGTTTTGGTGTTACTACTCAGTGCCTGGGTGCTGTCCATTAGTTCTTTCTGCTCAGGGCTGACAATCTGCCACTTGAACCACAGTTCTACTAATGGCACTGAGAAATTCCTATTTCCTAGTGATATCATAACACCTTACTCTCATTTAGTAATGTTGGTGTAAGCAAACTTACTCTACTGCCAGTCTTATAAAAACACAACACATAACAAGTATGTACAGTATATAACTGCTTGATAATGTATAACAACTAACTGTTTTACTGGTTTATATAGTTACTATTTTTTTATTGTTCAGTTAAAATGTACTCCCTCTATTTCAAAAGCCTTTACTGTAGAATTAGAATGCCATGCATCTCCAGCAGCAGCCACATATATCTTGTGTATACAGTACCTCCTGATGACACCCTGAGACCATGTGGAGATGACTAGCCTACACCTCCTAACTTGGTGAAAATACTGTCTATGCTATTCACACAATGACAAAACCATCTAATGATGTTTCTTAGATCATGTTTCTATTGCCAAGAACACATGACTATACTATGATGCTTTCATATTTCAAGATTTCCATCTTATAAATGAGCCAGAGCTTTTCAGGGAGGTAGTTTTTTTTTTTTTTGAGGGAGGGGGGGGAGAGGGTCTGGTCATGAGACCTGAACTCTGGGCCTGGGCGCCGACCCTCAGCTCTTTAGCTCAAGGCTAGCACTCTACCACTTGAGCCACAGCGCCACTTCTGGCTTTTTTCTTTTTGCTTATGGGGTGCTGAGGAATCAAACCCAGGGCCTCATGCATGCAAGGCAAGTGCTCTACCACTGAGCCACCTTCCCAGCCCCGAGCCAGAGCTTTTCAATGAAAGGGAATCAAATCTTTGAATTCTTACTTTTTTTTTTTTTTTTTTTTTAGTGTCCTTTAAAATGCTTATACATCACTGAAAACAAAACAATGCTTGATAAATATCGGATGAGTTAACTTTGGGTAATATTTAATTTATTCCTACAACACTAACCTAATTTTTCACATACATTATTATTGTAATTTTTCAGTCTCTTGAAAGTCATTTATGTGACTATATATGCATACATGTATGCATGTGAATATATATAAATACAAACACATACATGTGTAGATATACACAAACACATAGGCATACATAGACACATGTATATACATCTATACGTACACAAATGTAGCTACAGTCTATTTTTCTGATCACTTAGCTATTTGCTCCTAAAATGTTTTATTTGGGTTCATACCTGGTTATAATGGGATCTGCAGCATGATTTGGACCCCATCTCCCCAAAAGCCCCCGGCCAACCAATCCTGTGCGCCCTGCAGGATTTCTGTGGAAAAAGGAAGAAAGCTGTAAAGTCAACGGAATGTGGTCAGTAAGCAATATCACATATCCGACACTGCAATCATAAACCATATTACACTGTTACTATTACTTAGTTTTTCTTTTATTCATGTTTCAAACTTTGGACTTGAGCCACAAGAAAGATCTGATTTCCAAAGTAGTTACACAATGTTTTCTTATTTATCCTAAACACAAACTTGAAACTTACCAGACTCTTCTAATGCTCTTTACCTTATCTAATAAGACTTCATTATTTCAGAATCCTAAACCATTCTTGTTAAAGTAGTTTGTTACATATTTACATTAATTTCCTCAATGAGTTCACAGATTTTTGCAGCATATAAGATAGTTAAATTTCATAGACTTCACATTTCCAAATTTAATTTTATAAAAACACTTATTTACTTTTTAGCCATATACACTAATCACTATTGATGCCACACATTATTACTTAATATTTCTAAATGTGCAATTTTTAATGCTCCAATAAAATGCCCTATTCTATAATCTTATCTCTTTATAATCCTATTTTTTGTCTTCCCACTATGTAATTACAAGTCATCTCTTTTCATTATACATCCCTACAACTGCTCTTATGACTGCATTTTTATATTGCTTTTACTAGACTCGTAAATATTTCAGCAAGACTTGCAAATAAACAGAAATACAAGAAACTTGGCCAGCTGACAATAACTCTTTTCAAATAGAGAAAATGTTAGTTTTCAATAGATGACCAAGTCTTATGATCTGTAAGTCAGAAACTAAACTAGACATATAGACTCTATTGCCTAAGAAGCAGAAAAGGTTGCTTGCAAAGACAGAAATGAAGCCAATAGAGTAAGAGAAAAGAAGAGGCATGACAAAATAATCCTGATAGATTTCCAATTATATCTTTTCCTAAAGAGAGCTGCTTTTCTAACACAGGCTTTGTACCTATCCTTTTATATACATATACATTCATATATTTTACCCAGAAAAGAATGTAAGGACTAAGTTACATCCAAGAGTTTGACTTGAAGGACTCAATAACATAGAAGAGTATATTACAACAAAGATCTAAGCAAATCTGAAAGATTGGATTGAAATCAGAACACTATCATTTCCTTGTCCTAGAAGAACTAAGACCACAGACTCTGCAGCATCTTTACAAGGCATAATCATAACTGAGCTGCTTCTCTTAAACTATATTTCAGTCATGGTAATTTTTATCTTTTATTATTTTATATTTTATATAAAATTTTATATATTATTTATATTTTATTATTATTATTAAATAATATTACTAATCTATTTTTTTATCTTTTCAACCTATCTCCCTCATTGTTATGTCGTCTTACAAGAAATAAGCAAAGTTTAAAGATGTACAGAAAATGATTTTAATATTGAGGGTAGATAGGTTAAGATAAGGTCTTGCTATATAGCCTTGGCTGGCCTCTAACTCACAATTTTCCTGCCTCAGTCTCCCAAGCACTCGAATATATCCTACCACATACTTATCATACATATACCATACACATACCATACATATATCCTACCATACACAACAGAAAAGAATCATTTTTTAAAGTGTACAAACAGGGTTGGGAGCTGGGTGACACTGGCTCATGCCTATATTCCTAACTATTCAGGAAGCTGGGATCTGAAGATCATAGTCCGGTCTGTTCAGGAAACTCTGTGAGTAGCTAATCTCCAATTAATCACCCAAAAGCCGAAGCAGAGTTGTCTCAAGGGATAAAGTGTCAACCTTGAGTGAAAAAGCTAAGGGCAAAATAAAATTTATCTAGTAAAGTTTATGCCAAATGTGCACTGGGTCTTTGGGCCTCACTAATGTAGCCTTTCCATTCCAACACAAATAAATAAATGACTAAATAAATAAATAAGGGACAGCACCGAGGTCCTGAGTTCAAGCCTTAGTATTGGCATTAGAAAACATAATAATAACAGGACTGAGGACGTGGCTCAAGTAATAGACCACCTATCTAGCCAACTGTGAGGATAGAGTTCAAACTGCATTACTAAAAGATAAATTCTTACTTATGGCATAATCTTGTTTAATAAACACCTACTAAAAATACAATTTTTAACTTTTTTATTAATTTATTCAAAAAATTATTTGAATTATTTCTACCTTCAAGATGAAATTACAAAACGATGCATTCAAATCCTGCCTCTGCTACTTACTAGCTGTATGCAAAGTGCTTACATTCTTACCTGTAGAGCTAAAAGTAACCACCTAGAGTTCTATGAAGATTTAATGAGTTTACATATATAGTTTCATGTTATATTCAGTGCATTCAATTACATAATAAATATTAACTCATTTTACCTTTTGAAGCCCCTTTACTGCTTCTTTTCTAGTACCTACCTAGGTCTTCCATTTTCAATCTCATACAGGCCATTCTGGCTCTTTCTTTCAACATGCCCATCTTTTTCGTTAAACTTGGGAGAAAAGCTACTTTCACTGTAAGAAGAACATCAGTATAAAATTTTAAAAACAATAATAAATCAATTTGTTATTCATAATAAGCACTATCCTTGAAACAGCACATTTTAAGTGTTACTTTTTATTTTTATATTTGAATGTATATCGCTCTCTACCTTTGTCTCTCTCTCCCTGCCTCATCCTTTACCTATCCATTTTCTATTTTTTTTACACTAATCTGACTTCTCACCATCTTATTCACAGTAATCTGAGAAAGAGTCTGAAAAATATTTTTACTACTTCAAATTCAAGTCTAACTATATTAGAAAATACCATAAAGGATGTTAGCCTTACTATCTGGGAGACTGAAATCAGCAGAATCAAATTATAAAGCAAGCCCACCCAAAAAGTTTGAGACCGCTTCTCAATCAGTCACTGGGATTGGTTGTGTATACCTGTCATCCAAACTATATAGGAAGCTGTGGCTCACATCTGTTATGTCATCTATAGCAAGAGCAAAAGAGGATTTCAGTCTAGACATAAGACCTTATATCAAAATAATCTGTGCAAAAACAGGACTGAATGTGTGACTCAGCAGCAGGGTACACCTGCCTAGCAAGCATGCATCTCTGAGTTCAAACCCCATTTCCACAAAAACAGCAGCAACAAAAGAGATGTATCATTGATAACTCAATTGTTAACATATGAAAAAAAGCTGTCATAAGCAGTTACTTCAAAACAAACAGCTATTATCTGAACCAAAATAGATTTACTATTAGGAAAGAGCCTCATAAAACCCCCAGGAGAATAAACAAACAGGAACTGATTTTGGGAGGGGGTACAGAAAGGAAACAAATGTGGAAAATGAGTTATAACAAAGTCAAGCATAGATAAAAGTGATTTATCAAGTGCTAAAAAGGACAGTTTACAAATGTAATCACAACCTTTTCTAAAAGTCCTATATGTAGCTAATATCAGCTGATTTGCTCACCTGATTTGAGGATCTGCCCACCTAGGTCCAGCCAAGACAGAGACTGCAGTATATTCCACAGGGTTGTAGTCTTGCCACTCAACAACCCAGCCCACTTTCTCATTAGGAACCTGGCTCCGTTCAACTTTAGATCCTGGGTAGGGAGATGTCCGAGCCTTGTTGTGAGAATTCTCTTTGGCATCATTAGAACCAGACATGATGTTGGTGTTAAGATGAAAACAACAGGACAAAAATGGGTTTCTGGGAAGGAAACAAAATTGTTTTGTAGAAAAAACAGAACAGATTCATTAAAGAGTAACTCAAAGACTCAAACACAGTTTTCAATTTCAAAAACTGTTTAAAATCAGAAAATTCACCTATGATGTATATAGTATCACCCATCTTTGAGGTTTCCAAACCTAATTTTTAGTAATTAAATCTCATTAATGTAGCTACCACATGATTTTAGCTGAGGATAAAAAACACAAGTTCACTTATCTGTTTAGAAGGGGAAATTTAAGAACTTAATCATAAAAATAACTGTGGAATAAAATTTTGGGTTTATATGAAGGAATACATTTTTAAAAAGCAAATCTAACAAAAATAAAATGTACAGCAAAAAAAGCATACAAAAATAGGAAAATGAAACTGCATTGTTATAAAATTCTTACACTGAATATGAAGCAATTAGTGTAATATCATTTGAAGGCAGACTGATAAATATATATATATACACTAAAGCAAAATTTAAACACTATGAAATAATTGTATAGTACATTCACACTAGTTACATACACACAAAATTTTTCATGTCTCCTCTTGCCTAAAATATTTAAAATAACATTCCTGATGACCCCTAATAAGACATTTAAAGAAAAGGTGGATTCCAGGACATGGTAAAGTAATGGCAGCTCTTTTCCTTCTCATACCATACTAGTCAATTTGCTCTTATTATTATTATTTTTTAATTTGGTCAGTCATGGTCTGAACTCTGGGCCTGGGCACTGTCCCTCAGTTCTTCAGCTCCAGGCTAGTGCTCTGCCACTTGAGCCACAGTGCCACTTCCAGCTTGTCTCTGCTTATGTGGTGCTGATGAATCGAACCCAGGGCCTCATGCATGCAAGGCAAGCATTCTACCCCTGAGCCACCTTCCTAGGCCCCTCAATTTGCCTTTCTTAGATAAATGGTTGATAGGAAAACACTCACTTGACCATGATGAATAGTGAATTGGATACTGAGACATATACACACAAGTGTGTGTGTGTGTGTGTGTGTGTGTGTGTGTGTGTGTGTGCACTAGGAGGCAGACCGCTTCACTTGTGAGTGCCACCATTTAAAGAATTTGAATCAATCCTGCTTAAACAATTCAAAGAAATTAAAGAGTGAGTACTTCCAAACTCATTTTAGGAAGCTAGCATTACCCTGATGCCAAAAGTAAACAAAGATATTACAAGGAAAATACAAACCAATACACTAGATGAATAGTGATATAAAAAAGACAAACCAGGCATCAGAGCCTCACACTTGTAATCCTAGTTACTCAACACACTGAGATCTCAAGGATCAAAGTTCAAACACAGCCTAGGCAGAAAAGTCTGTAGGACTTCATCTCCATAAGAACCAGCAAAAAGCTGTACTGAAAGTGTTCTTGCTATGAGCAAGCAAGTTAAGCAAGCACAAGGCATTGAATGTAAGCCTCTGTGCTGGCAAAGAAAATGAAAAAAAGAAAAAAGAAGAAGAAATACTAACAGAATTCCACAGAACACTAAAAAGATCAGACATCATGACCAAGGGACTTACTGCTGAAATGGAAAGATGGTTCCATATACAAAAATCAGTAAAAATCAACATGCCACAAAACAGAAAAAAACCACATAATCAGCTTAATTGATACAGAAAATTCTTTTCACACAGTTCACCCTTCCATGATTAAAAAAATACAATGGAAGAGCTACCTCAACATTACAATAATGACTATAAATGAAAAGCTCAGAGCTAATACTCTGGTAATTAATGAATTAATTTTCTTCTAAGATCAAGAATAAGCCCTTTATTTAATATGGATGAATTGTCCTAGCAGACCAATTAAACAAGGAGAAAAAAGGTCAGAAGTAAAATTATCTCTATCTGCCAATCACACCCTCACAAACACAAAAAAAAAGTCCATGAAAAAACTGTTATAATAAGTGAATTTAACACATAAAAAGTAGTTAAAGCTGGACACCAGTGGTTCAAGTATGTAATCCTAGCTACTAAGGAGGCTGAGATCTGAGGACTGGAGTTCAAAGCCAGCCTAAGTAGAAAAATCCCTGTGAGACACTTACCTCCAATTAACCACTCAAAAACTGGAAGTGTCGCTGTGGTCCAAAGTGGTAAAGTGCTAGCCTTGAGTAAAAGAGCTTGGGGACAGGGCCCAGGCCCTGAGTTCAAGCCCCATGTCTGACAAAAAAAATTCCACGTAACCAAGAAAGCAAAACTCTTGCACAATGACTACTACATAACATCACTGAAAGAAATAAGACAGCAACAAACACATTCTATTTGTAATGACTGAGGACTTAAGTTAGCAATATTATCTAAAGTGATGATCTACAGATCAGCACTATTTGTTTTTTCTAAAACTAGAAAACTATATCCAAAGTTCCTTATGGAATCTCAAAGAAGCTCAAATAGTCGGAATTAGCTTAAAAAAGAAAAGAACAAAGTTTAAGGTCTTATTCTTCCTGATATAAACATATACTATAAAGCTAGGATGATGTTTCCATAAATATGGAATAGAGACCAGACATAAACCCTCACAGCTAAGGCCAAATGTTTTCAACAACGGTGCAAAGATCATTCAATGGGGAAATGACAGTCTTTCCAACAAATGATAGTGGGAAAACATTATTTGCATGTAAGGAGAACCTTCCCCTAATCTTACACCTTTACTTTATACCTCATATAGACTAGCTAAGATTGAATGAAGGCTGGAGGTATGGCTTAGTTGTCAAGTACTTTCTAGCAGATGTGAGGCTCTATGTTCAATACACAGCAGCCCAAGAGACAAGTAAAAAAAAATTAAAACATAATCTAAATATGGGAATTAAACTGATAAAACTCTGACACTGGAAACCTTCATAATATTTGATCTGGCAATAATTTCTTAAATATGACACTCCAAGCATAAGAAACAAAAAAACAGGTAAATTACATACCAAAATATTTAAAACTTCTCTATATCAAGGACACAAGGTCATGAAAGCATGAAAAGAAACCCATGAAATGGGAAAAAATTGCAAATCATCTATCTATAAGGCATTGGTTAATATTCAGAACACATGAAGAACCCCTACAACTCATCAAGAGAATCCAATTACAAAATGGGCAAAAAATGTTAGATGTTTCTCCAAAGAAGATATATATTGCTAACAAGCACATGAATAGATACAACATCACTAATGATTAGAAAAATAAAGCCAAAACCACAATGGGTTATCACTTTGCAACCATAGGAAAAACATTATGAAAAAAGATACAAAGAAGGAACAAATGTGGATGAAACTTACTTGCTACTGAAAATAGTATCAGGTGATTTTACATTCAGATGATTAAAAAAAGCAAGTTACAGAAGTATATGCAATTTCCATTTTTATAAAACAATTATCTTGTTTGAGAGAGTAAAAATGAGTTGTCTATTACTGCTATCACATCATAAACTCTGTGCCATAAAACAATATGTTGTATATCTTAATATTTCTGTACAATTCCAACATAAAACTTGCTGGGCTAAAACTACTTACTTCATCAGCAAAGCTACCACCTATATAGAGAGTTCAGAGGGTCGTGGCTCCTACTCTTTAGATGCAAAGCCACCTATTAAAAAGTAGGTGACTACTTCTTAATAGTCTTTCTCAGACCAGAGCTGAAACATTTTTCCCATTTTTACAAGTTCAATTAGATCAGGTACGCATGGATAGTCAAGAGTGATTTCCAAATCTTAAAGTCCTTAACCCTAATCATATCTACACAGTCTCTTTTCTCATGTAAGGCAACGTGTGTGTGTGTGTGTGTGTGTGTGTGTGTGTGTGTGTGTGTGTGTGTGTTGGGGGGAGGGGGGGAGCTGTTCCTAGGGCTTGAACTAGGCCTAGGCACTGTCCCTAAGCTTTTCTGCTCAAGGTTAGGGTTCTACCTACCATTTGAGGAACAGCTCCACTTCCAACTTTTTGGTGGTTAACTGGAGTTTAGACTCTTATGAACTTTACCACCAGAGTTAGCTTCTAACCAAGATCCTCAGATCTCAGGCTCGTGAGCTGGGATTATAGGCATGAGCCATGGCACTCAGCATGGACAATAAATATAAAAAGGTTCCAGGGATTAGGATGTGGTTATCTTGGAGGAGGTGCTGGGAACATTATTCTGCTACCACAAATGTCTATGTTATATTCTATGAACATAGGAAAAACTCAAAAAATATATATAAAAATTAAAAATTCCTTATCTTCATATAACCCATATAACATAAGTTAGAAAATACACTACTGAAATGAGTAGAGGTAGAAGGGAAACAGGAAGAAAAAAGAGCAAGAAAGAAGAGGAAGAGGAAGGATAGAAAAGGAGAATAGAACTAAAAAGGAAAAAGGGTTGGAAGAATAAAAACATTAAAAACAAGGAGAAAGTGAAGCAAATTTTTAAAAGAATTAAGACTATCACATAAACACCATAATAGGTGTTTATGAACAAATTTACATCCTTTGGTCAAATCATATATTCACATCTGTATTGATTTTTCATTTGAAAATTTAAGATTAAAGTTCTTAACTGACATTCAAATATTGCGCATCGCACATTCTGACTGCTCAACGTTTGTGTGCATAGTAATGATGGAAATGTAATCACACACGTGTGCCCAAACTCATAATGGACAAGAGTGTACCCTAACATCAACTATGGGACTTCTGACATAACTTGTGGTAGAGGTTCAACAAATGGTATAAATGTACAATTCTACAGGTACATTATATAGAGAGAAGTTAATATGTTATTGTAAAGAATTTCTGTATGGGAAATTTCTGTACTTTCCATTCCCTTTTGCTGTGAACTTAAACTGCTGTAGAAAAGAAAGCTTAAAAAAAAAAAAAACCACCAAGCCAGGCACAGATGGCTCACACCTGTAATGCTACCTATTCAGGAGGCTAAGATCTGAGGGATCTTGGTTCGAAGCCAGCTCAGGCAGGAAAGCCCATGATACCTTGCCTCCAATAAACTCACAAGTGGAGCTGTGGTTCAAATGGTAAAGTGCTTGAGCTCAGGGACAGCACCCAGACCAAGATCAAACCCCCTAAATGGAGGGGGGGGGGGGATCATGTAGCCAGACCTGGTGGCTCATGCCTCTAGAACCCTAACTACTCAAGAGGTTGAGATCTGAGGATCAGTTTGAAGCCAACCAGGACAGAAAAGTCTGTGACACTCCTACTTCTAATTAATCAGCAAAATACTGGAAATAGAGATGTAGCTCAAGTGGTACAGCACCAGCCTTGCCGTTGAAAAAGGCAAGTGAGAGAACGAGGCCCCCAGTTCAAGTCTCAGTACCAATATACACAATAAACAAACATTTTTAAACACTCTTAGAGTTAGGAGCCAGTGGCTCATACCTGTAATCCTAGCTATCAGGAGACTGAGATCTGAGAATTGTGCTTCAAAGCCAGCACCAGCAGAAAAGTACACCACTCTCTTATCTCTAACTAACCACCAAAAGACTGGAAGTAGATCTATGCCTCAAGTAGCAAAAAAGCCTTGAGCAAAAAAAGCTCAAGGACAGCACCCAGATTCTGAGTCCAAGCCCTAGGACCAGCATTCACACACACAAAGAAAATGCACTTAAAAAGCAACTATCTATGCTGTCTGTGCTTTCCCAACTAATCTAACCCCTCCCAATTCTTGATCTTTTTAATACCACTATAGTTTTGCCTTCAAGAACTATCATAGAAGCATACAGCCTATTGGCTTCTTATATGCATATAATAGTGTTCATATCTCCTCATGGCTTGCTGGTTTTTAAAAAATTTTATTGTCAAGGTAATGTACAGAGGGGTTACAGTTACACACATAGTAAGCAAATTTCTTGACCAACTTGTCATCCTCTCCCTCATTTTCCTCCCACTTTCCCTCCCCCCAAATTGTGCAGTTCATTTCTAACATATTGTCTTGAGTATCACTGTTGCACTGGTTCACCCTTTGTCCTTTGTCACCATTTTGTTGTTCCCTAATTACCTTCCCTAATTCAGAGAAACATGTTTACAATACCCGGGGTACCAAAATCAAATACAGGGACAACAGGATAAGCCATAGAGGGAAAAAACACACACACACATTAGGAAAAAGAAATTATATAGTATATTTAAAACAACAACAAAGAAAAACCTCTTGTTTTCATGTCTTGGCACTAAGTAACATTTTATTTTCTGGATATACTAGTTTATCCATTCACCTACTGAAGGACATAAGCACTTACATTTGTATAAATGGCTGCTTCCAGGTTCTCATAATTATATATAAAGTTCCTAAAAACATCTGTGTGTAGACTTCTGCATGAACCTAAGTTTTCAAGTCATTTAGGTCACTACCAAAATGTATGACAACTTCGGAGAGGAAATGTCAAATTTTTTTCTTGATTTTTAACTGGTTTCTTTCTTGTGTGTTTATAGCTCTACGCGTAATTAGGCCCGTTCTCTTTCATTCACCACACTTACAGGTTTTGAAGTAACTGTTACTTGTTTGTACTCACTGTGTATGGGGAAAATATTAGAATCATCATCTGATCAGTGAGTAAGTTATTATCTCCAGAAACTTAACATTTGTGTAAGGTAGAATATTTGACTGTAACTAATTTTATTAGTAAGTGGCAGACTATCAGGCATGGTGGCATATATCTGTAATCTCAGCCCTTGGGCAACTAATAACCAGTTCCTACCTAACATAAACTACATAGTGAGAAAAAATAATAAATTAGGAAAAGAAGGAGAGTGAGAGAAGTCAGAACATTGAGGAAGGAGGAGAAAAGGAGGAAACATGTGTTACTAAAAGCAAAGTTTAGCTTATAGGGGGAGCCTTTCAATTAGACCAGGAAAAAAATATATACACAGGAAATTGACTTTTATACTACTCTATCCCAACCAAGCACCAAAACAATTTTTAAGGTTTTTTTTTTTTTTTACAATAGGGATAAAATACATGCTGCAAAGTAAAAACCAGCTTTCTACTTAGAAGTAGTAAACTTCTAAGCAATGTATTATTACTTATTTGATACTCACACTCTTAAGTTTAAGTACTATTAACCTTCTTTTGGAAGAATGTGCATTAAGGCCAAAAGATTAAATAAAGGTCACACAAAGAATCTAAATCCAGGCAAACTGACTCCAAATTCCAGGCTCTAAACATTATGCTATACTATGTCTATTCCATTTTTAGGTCACACAATTTATATGTAAGCAAAGGAATGAAATGTAAAATATTCTCCACCAATGATTGTCCTAAGAGAACTTTTTTTCCTAGAAAAGACATTTGAAAGATTCTAGTCAAATCACAAATACTATGGAGGGCATTGTGGTACATTGCCTATAATCCCAAAACACAGGAGGCTGAAGCAGAAGGATCACAAGAACAATGTAGCTTAGCTATATACAACTTCCAGGCCAGCTGAAGCTTTTTTTTTTTTTTTTTCTTGTGCGGGTCCTGGGGCTTAAATTCAGGGCCTGGGGACTGCCCCTCAACTTTTTTGCTCAAGGCTAGTGCTCTCCATGTGAGTCACAGTTCCACTTCTGCTTTTCTGGTGCTTAATTGGAGATAAGAATCTCAACTTTCTTACACAAGCTGGGTTTGAACCATGATCCTGAGATCTCAGCCTCTGGAGTAGCTAGGATTATAGGCCTGAGACACTAGCATTGGGCTTGAGCTACTTTTTGATGCTACATTTCTTTTGCCTCTCCCAAGATGCTTTGCAGTATTAGTGTCAGTTACTTGACACACACAAAAAAGTTGGCTTAACTTTTGGCTATTTTTCTGTGCAACTATATGAAGTCTCTGGTTCTTCAGATACCTTATTAGCGTTTCCAGCATTAAGAGTAACTATCGAGCAGCTTTACATCATTATGGGGGGTGGGGGGAATAACAAAAATAGCATTAGTGACTTCCAGAGCAGACAGACCTGTTCCTTTCTCTCTCCTAACTTACACTGAAAGACAAACACGTACACAAGGAAAACAAATTCACAGTGGCAGAGAGGACACCACGAGTGAATGAGAGGTTTTAACCAATGTTAGCAAGATGGAAGGTAGACAGAATAAATTAATTTTAAAGCACACACCAATGTGTGAGGAAGGGATACCATTTCTACAAGAGAAGTTCTGAAAAACTCTGTGTGAAGTCAATGGGCATAAAGCTCCTAAGTGGTTACTGACCCAGTCAATAATCTGCCTCCTTCCACACCCTCAAAACTAAGTTGGAATAGTTACGTGTACCTCCAAGATAAAGTCAAAAGTTTTTTTTTTTTTTTTTTAATAAAGTCTGGAAAGAAGAGGAGGCCCTGGCCTGTTCACCTACCTGTATCTGCTCTCACATTCCCTCAACTGAAATCTTCCAGTCTAGGCACCCTAGTGTCAAGGGCCAACGGTCTACCAGGCTTCCTATATAAAGAGAGCCGTGTGCTTGCTTATATTAACAAGCTGACAAACATTTCCATTACCCGTGGTAAGTAGTCATCAAAAAGAATATGCCGGCCCAAACCTGGGATACTGAAACCTCTTGTGATCCATAATATTGGTGACTCATAGCCGACCGCAAATTTCAAAATGAGCCAGCCTGAGACTGGTCTCCAAAACAGCCGGCTAAAATGCGGGCTGGAGACATACTCCAGTGATAGAGCACCTGCTGTGGGCGAGAGTAAAGTCCCTAAGTTCAAACCCTAGGAGAAAGAGAGGAGGAAGAAGAGGGGGGGGAGGGGGGAGGGAGGAGGATGGGGGAGAAGGAAGGAGGGCGGGAGGCTAAGTCCAGCAAGGCCCTGATCACTGGTTTTCCTCCGAAGGCCCACCGATCTCCGCGCCCTCTGGAAAGCTGGCCTGCGGCTGGGGCTCCTTTCCCACCCCCGCCCAAGGCCTCGCGAACCGGAGGCGGCGGTGGGAGCGGGAATACCTGCACGGCGGGCTGGGGCGGCACACCGAGGACCCGACGGTGGCGGAGGCCAGGGCCACCGAGAGAGACACGGCGGCAACAGCGCTTCCCAGGGGGCGCGCGGCCATCGGCGCCCGGCGCGGGCCGCTCTCTGCCCGCCGCGGCCCGAGCCGGCTCCGGGGATCCGACGGGCACGAGGACCCGGCCGCCCTCCCGGTCCCGGAAGGGACTAGCTGCCTTGTCTAACCGCACCGACGCCGCGAGCCCGCAAAGTAACCGCCCAGCGTTCTCCCAGGTGCGCCGCGGAAGCCCACACCCACAAAGAGCGCCCAGGGCTCGGGCACCCGCAGCCCGAACGCCGGCCACAGGCCCCGGGACGGCGCGGCGCGACGGCGCTTTACGGCCGAGCCGGCCGCAAAACCAAAGTCGCGCAGGCGGAGTGGCGCCTTGCTTTACGGACGTCCTAACTTGCGCAGGCGTACTTGCGAACCAACGTCCCAGTCGGCGCCGACGTACTTGAGACTAGATGGAAGAACTTCCCGAACAGTGCCAGAGAAGAGGCTTGGAAAAAGGGGGAAACAGGGAAGGGATGTGCGAGATGTCTGCAGGCCCTGGCTTTTTATAACTGGACGCCCTAGACATATCTTGAATAACTCATCGTTACAGGAAGAGATAGAAATGAGATCAAATCCATGCATCTTGAGGCGTTTCTCCTCCTTAAAAAACCCTAAACCAAAAAAAAAACAAACCCAGGTCATTCTATGTTGTTGCTAATTTCACGAGGCTTTGCCTGGCTGTGGCCCTGGGAAACCTGTGACATTGTAGGCAAATCGTAAGATAGGCACAGCTTGGATGATAAACTCATAAGGCGAAACTTATTCTCAGTTGCAGAGTGTCCAAACCAGAGTTTTAGGTTCCAGGACCAAACTTCGGGTGGCCACTCACTCAAACACACTGACTAAAGATGAAAGCGAAAGGTTTATTAAGGCATAATAGGCCAGGCAAGAAAACACTTTAACCCATCTTCAGGGTTCAGACCTGTACCTTAGGCTTAAGTAGAAAAGGAATTGGTGTAAGGTTGAGAGGTATGCAGACTGGATCATTTTCTGATAGCTGGGCTTAGAAGGGGTTCCTGAGAAGTGCCTGCTGTCTGAGGGGATCCCTTTGCTCTGGGTAAGAAAACCATTGTTGCCTGGTGTATGGTCCCTGCTGGGAGGCTCTGCTCTTCCTTTCCTTGGGGGCAGATTCCTTCATCCCTCTGGGTAAAGATATCAGATCTAACCTTCTGGGATTCCAAGAGGGATGCAAGGTGAATGGCTCAAAACAAAGACATTTACAAAAATCAGAGGCTGAGATGCCAAACTTCTCACCTGCTTTTAATTAATTCAGGGAGTCAGTGCTTTTCAGCAAAAGAATCTTCAGTACCTATTACAAACCCAAGTTGTCTAAAGTTTTCATTTATTACCATTTCATTTATAGATGTTGAAAATGTATAAACTTCAGGTATACAATAAACTGTTTTAACAGTATGTTACAGACGTACTCTAAAACTTAATCATCTTACAAGTCAAATTAATCAAATTTTAACAGCCACTATCCTGCAAACTGCAGAACTGTTACAATAACTGTGCAGCTTTCCGCACTGACACGTGTATGCAGTCAGTACTAGTAAGGATTCCACACATTTAAAATCCTGTCTTTGGGATGACCCAAGTCTTCCTTAAAATGCCTGAAAAAACAAAGTCGAGACAATTTGCTCTTTTGTTCAGCCAAAATCTGATGGCTGGCAATAATTAGTCCCTTAGCCTTTCTTAGAGCAGTTAGTTTAAAAGACTTACAATGATAAATTCTACCCTTTCAGACAAGTCTACTACAGTTTCTTGGAGGACTGGATAGCCTCTCCTTAGATATGCAAATATCCAGGGAGATAAACTCACAATAAACCCCAGTCCTTGTAAGAGGTGAAGTCTGGCTTCAACTTGCAACACTGCCTCCAATCACAAACATAGAGCTTTGTCTCTGGGTAAATGCCAATTAAATTCAGATAGCCTAGGCACATCTTAGAACCATTTCTGCCTTTACCTTAGCATAAACATTAAAAACATCTCTAGACAAGATCGGGCATGTTAATTTTTGTGTTTTATAAGAAGCAATTTTCTTATGCTGAAAAGATGTTGAAAGTTTGAAACACCATAGTAATCAATATTTTTAAAAAATTGTCCCACTGATAAAAAATTAAAAAAAAAAAATACTCAGGAGACAGGCACCAATGGTTTATATGTGTAATTCTGGCTACTCAGGAAGGTGAGGTCTGAAGATCAAGGTTCAAAGCCTGCCTGATCAGGAAAGCCCATGGGACTCTTATCTCCAATAAATTACAAAAAAAAAAGCTGAAATTGGAGGTATGGTTCAAGTGATAGAATACTCCCCTTGAGTAAAAAAGAAAGAGCAAGTCCTGAGTTCAAGCCTCAAGACTGGTACAAAAAAAAAAAATCTAGAGGGGAAAACTGGGGCGACATTGTCCAAAAAAGGAAAGTACTCTTTACCTGACTTATGTAACTTTAACTCTCTGTACATCACCTTTGCAATAATAAAATAATAATACAAATTTAAAAATAAACAGGGACTCCTCTTTAGTTTCTTCTCCAGCTGGAGAATTTCTGCCACTTTCTGGTCGTTATGGCAACAGACCTTCAATAAACCTTTCCTTATCACTTTAGTTTTGCCTTCGTTTGTTGCTGACAGTTCTTTGATAACAACGTATTTTTTTTTTAATCAAAGCCAGTAGCTCACGCCTATATACTTGTACTCTAAGTACTTAGGAGACAGAGACCAGAAAGATCATAGAAAGAAATAAGCTTGGGTAGAAAGTTAGCAAAACCCCATGGAAACCAATAAATTAAGCATGATTATTTAAACTCACTTGTGATCCCAGATACTCAGGAGCTTGATAGTGTTAGTCCGCCTGGGAAGGTCCCAGTGCCAGTCCCCGTGCCAGCCTTTACATAGGTAAACTCTCCACCCGGTTTTCTAAGCAGGAAGTCTCACCCAGCACCTGTGCTGGGTGACTGGCACACCTGGAGGTAGTTACCTCCCCCTTCTCTGAGGTCACATCCTGGACTGCAGTGTCTCTCCTCCTTCAGACCTTGGGAGGTTACCAGGCTCTAAGGTTCCATCCTGTGTGGCCATACCTTGCCCCACCTATCCACACCTTCTCCCCCCCCCCCCCAACACACACCTGCATCGTCACCCACACCCACACCCCCGCCCTAATCTAAAGAAAAAGAAAAAGAAAAGCTGGAAATAGAGCTGAGGCTCAGGTGGCAGAGAGCTAGCCTGGAGAAAAAAAAAAAGCTCAGGTACATTGTTCAGGCCCTGAGTTCAAGTCCCAGGACTGGTACACAAGGAAAGAAAAGAGGAGAAAAGAAAGAAAAAAAGAAGAGCTTTTAAAAAGTTAGAGTATATTATCAAGCATCTAATGAATCTATGCCATTACTTGAGACTATCTTATTATTAGATTTGTGTTTCTAAGATATAAAAATGAGTGAAGACAACATTTCAAAATATTTAGGATAATTCCTTATGCTAAGAAAAAAGAAACCACTTTGTAATTTCCTGCAATATTCTGCTAGTTTAACCCAGTCAAGCTACAGTCTTAATCTCATTTTTTTTTCCAGTAAAAATGTTTTTTGTTTCTTGCTTACTTCCAAGTGCTTAAGTCATGGAATGGGCTACGACAGAAAAAAAATTTCAAAAAACAACAAATTTATATGCTAGACCTTGTTTTATCTTGGTCTAACGTATGTCCCACTTCCTGTTACACACACATGGTACAGAGCAATCTTAAGATATTTCATGTTTCAACATCACCAAGGATACTCCTGATGAATGTGGCAAGCCACATGGCTCAGACATGCAGCAAAGTGCTTTTCGTATGTACCTTTGTGATATTGTTTGGAGTGCACTTAAAGTTGTTCCTCACCACGGTAGCTACTTTTGAAAAATATGGCAAATAGGTGCAGAAGGAGATGAGGTTGGGAAAATTTTAAATGAAGCACACAGCAGAGTGTCTGCCACAATAGGCAAGTTACTTGATATAAGCGGCCCAGGCCTACTCTGGTTCATACACAAATTAATTCTGTAAGATGAGACCAAGTCACTTGGTAACTATCTCAATGAGTCTTTATGATACCATGCAGTATGCAGCCAACCCTGCACAATGGCTATCCATCTATTACTTGCATTATCCCAGAGTCAGGGAGGAAAGACAATACAAGAAAGAGATATGCAACAGAAGGTCACATGCATTTAAAACATTCAAAGGTACAGATAACAACAAACTGTAGATACATAACCCTAACAGTGATCCCATAGTCATTATTCAGCAGAGTTTAATCTGGATTAAATGGTGCATCATCATTTCTAATTCTATGTTACCTTCTACTGTTCTCCACTCTTTTTTTCTAAATCATATTTTGTTATCATTAAGTAATTGTACAATGGCACTGCCATTCAATAAAGCAGTTTATGAATATAATGTGCCTTGATCAATGTCAACCCTTTCAACATTCTCACCATCTCTCCCAAGTCATGACTTTCTTTGCTTTTCTTAAATTTTGTAGGATATATTTTGATTTTTGACTATTCTCCCCTTCCTTCTGTTCATTTGTCTTGCTGCCATCTTGATTGCCCAATGTGAGTCTTGCCCAGCTACATATCTTGCCAATACTATTTCTATCTACGCTACCAAATTCTTAGAATGTTTACAAATGTTTTTTTAACACTCCTATGTCAGGTTCCAATGTTCCATCTTCCTCTTCTCAGTTTGCAGTGTGGTGTTTGATTAATTGGAAGCTACAGGTAGAGCATGGGAAAACAAAATCAAACACAAAAATAATCCAGCAATATTATTTTCATAAATGTATGCTTTCACTGAGACTGACATTATCTCTATTTTAAAGAAAAGGAAATTAAAGGAAAGAAGTAGTCAAAGCTGTCTTAAAAGATGCTGAGTCATTCCTGGGTATCTATCCAGAATATCACAAGGCAGAATACCATAATGACACTTGCACATCCATGTTCATTGCTGCACTATTCAAAATAGCCAAGTTATGGAAACAGCTCAGATACCCTACAATAGATGAGTGGATCAAAAAATGTAGTACCTATAAACAATGGAATTTTTCACAGCCATTAGAAAGAAGAATAATATGTCATTTACAGGGAAATGGATGGACCTAGAACAAATCAAGCTCAGAGACACAGTAGAACCTATTTTCTCATATGTGGAAGCTAGACTTAGAATACCTAGGGACATGATAAATTATACAGGACTCTAGGCCTTCACAAACAGTGAGA